TTTTTCCATTAGAAGTCACAGGAGGGAGTTTCATTTAGATACATTTTGAAGAAGTATTTCTGTCATAGTGGCATCGTGCAGAGCAACTGAATATATTTTAGTGACTTCTTAACGTTTATGCGGAGATTTAGATGTGAGGGAAGTTTTAACCTAAGCACAAAGTTAGTTTCAAATGCTAGTTCATAAATCTGATTTTTTTTCTATTTTTCTTTTTTGCAAAGAAACTGGTAATCTAGAATGTACGTGTGAACAACTTTATATGAATATTTTTTGTACTTGGTTTAGTTGAGTTGGTATGATGTGTTATATTTAAGTTCTTTAAACACTGGATTTCTTTAATGTATATTGACTGAGGAAAAGAAAGAAAACAAAGCTGGATATCCATTTAGAAAAAGCTGGACTTCTCCTTCATATCTTATACCAAAATAGGTGTAAACAGATCAAAATGTTAACCAGCAAAATATGAACCGTAAAATAACCCAAAGAAAACATGGGATATTAAAAAAATATAATTTGACTGGAGGAGGTCTTTCTAAGGGTAACATGAAATCCAAAGCAAAAAATAAACAGTGCCCCAAAATAAATAGTTACTAATATATATATTGGGAAGACTCTTTGCAAGACACAGAGGTACTCTATTTAATATGCAACATATAAGATGTGCCTGGAAATAAAAAGCAAGACTAATAATTCGAAAGAAAAATGGGCAGAGGTTACTAATAGTTTACAGGAAATGAAATACAGATTTTGCTTGGGAGTGTTTTCTTTTGATTTTTTTTTGAGAGGGAGGTGGGAATGCCCTGGGCAGGCTCGTTGAGTATGAGAAAATTTCCAGTTTTGATCCCTTGGTGATTATTAATTATAGGAGCAATAATCATTTTGTTAAGGAACCTGGTTTCTTTTCATGGGAAGTGGTATTTCAATTTGTGTGCTAGGGATGCTCTTTGCTGCTGGGTTGATTATTGTTTCTAAGCTTTTTAGTGAATGGGGCTAGGAAATACAAAGATGTGTTTCTGTGTATGTGATTATTTTAAAGATACTTTCTGAACTAAAAATATTTCCAAGTACAGCATTTTGAACTTTACCTCTTCTGTCTTTTGTCTCCATCTTTTTCTTCCATATCTGAATCCTGATTTTTAGGGACACAAGGGAATGATAGAATAATAATATCACATACTTAGTCATTTGCATCATTCCACATGTATGCACACAACAGTCTTAGTTAACAAAACCAAGTATCACAATATGAGTTCTGGAAAGTTGCCCTTTGTGCATATGTTATCCCATTTTTTGATAGTTGTACCATATCTACAGTGTCAGTACATTTGCCCATTATATACTCTTTTCTCTCTTTTATAACCCTCGTTGAGTTTCAGTTCTACAAGTATATATTTTCTGCTCACTGTTACTGACATTTCTTTAGTCATTTTGGATATTGCTGTGGGAGTGGCCGACCCCTTCTACTGGACTTCTTCTCTAGTAGATTCTTATTGCTGTTTTCTATATTGATAACACTTAGCAGTCTTTATACTCGAAATTTAGCTGGGTATAAAATCTTTGGTTCATGTTTTCTTTCCTTGAGTCTTAAATATGTTATTTTTTTCCCCCCTGGCGTAAAATGTTGCTGTTAAAGTGATGACAATTTGATTTTATTTTCCTTATAAAATATCTGTAGATGCTCAAAAAATATTTTCATTTACTATTAACTAAATTGTATCTTGGTGATGGTCATTCTGGGTTGATCTTTCAAATGTATGTGATATGACCTTTCAAAGTGTAGTTTTATGTTTTTTTAAATTAAGTTCAGGAAAGTTTTCTTGAATTAAAGGATTTTTAATATTCTGTTCCCTTGCTTTGATTTTCTTTGTTGTATGTATGTTGGTTTTTTTGTGTATGTTTTCTTAAATTTTTTTTGTCGTCTTTGATTTTTTGTTTCTTTCCTTTTCACTATTTCTCTTGTCGTTGAAAAGTTTTATTTACTCTTATGTTCCTTCTAATTTAGTTTTTATTTCTGAACTGATTTTTGTCTTTCATTTTCAATTATTCTGTCATCTGATTTCTGAATTTTTCTAATTCTGATTGATGTTAGTCTGTATATAAAGTGTTTTTTAGCTTGTTTTGAAATACTAATTTATAGCTATCCACCTTTTGGGAGGCATGTTTTCTTATGTACTTTTCTAAAGGGATTTTTTTTTCTCTTTAAAAATACGAACTTAGTGTGGGACTGAGCTTTGATCTCTTTTTGTTGCTGAGTTTTGTATGCAGCCAGTTTTCCCTTATTTGCAATTAGTTTTAGATGATATGGTTCAGGGAGAGTGTATGTCATTCTCTAGATCCCACTCTTCACTTGTTTTTGTGTAGTACTCCAAAATACTGAGGCTAACTTATAGATCCACTTTCATTTGAGCTTTCTTTTTCCTTTCTTTGTGTTATCCTTGTGATGCTCACTTTGGCTTCATCCCTAGCAGTTTCCCCTCAGCCTGAGGCTTTGACCTAGAAGGGGCCTTGACTGGTTAGTTTTGAGAGTTTGTAGAGGCAACAGGCTTCACCCTCTTGAGACCTCACCAAGGACCACTTGCACTTCCTGGCTGTACGAGTGGCAGAGCCCTTCTTGTTTCAGTTGCTTTTCTCACAGGGTCTTGTGTGCTTCTAAAACAAGTAGCTCCTGATAGATAATTTTGGGATTCTCAGATTTATCAGAGGCACCACACTTTCTCTGTTTCCTTCTTTACAGTTGCTGATACCACACACAACTTGTTGCTGTTTGTCATGGTCTGTCTTCATCTGCTCAAATTTTGGGATTTGTAGAGATAAGGGGATATTGTTCCTCTGGTTGGTTGGAGAGGTTATCCATGGGTTTTGAGTTTCGCTCTCCAGTTGTCCTGTCCAGGTTTATGGGGGAATTCAGGGAGATGAAACAGCTGTGCTGCTGCCTCCACCACGTGCAGCGTTAACCTTCAGGAGCTGTGATTTAGAAGCGTATTGAAGAGACTGACAGTGATGACGCTGTTCTGTGGGACTATTTTTAGGAAAGAAAGTCATTCCAAGCCTTAATTAATTATTACAATTAGTTTCAATTAGTTGGCCACAGAAATAAAACTAAAAATAAAAGCAAACAGCTTTATTTGGAGGAAAATCACTTTTTATTGACCACAATTTACATTGAGTAGATGCTGAGCCAGAATATTTCATTTAAAATATGATATTTTTGTCACTTCTGGAAAGGAATTTCAGAAAAACACAAAAGATTGTGCAGTCACTATTTTGAGATATATAAAGATAAAAAACATGTTGTCCACTCATTTTAAACTATTTTGATTACTATAAGGAATCAGTCAAATAAGAGATTGATGATTTGATAAAGTTGGTTAAAATTCAGAAGGGCATCTGTTTTAATATTTGGAAGTACTATGTGTTTTAGTTGTTTCTCTTATTTGGTTTACTACCATAGGTGTAAAAATAACCTTTTTTTGTGTTTGAGTCTAGGCTAGCTTGGTTGGCACTGAAATTCCATATTGCAAGATTTTACCATGACTGAAAACACATTCATTAAGAGAACTAATTGATACGAAGAAATAACAGAGACACATTTATTTATTTTGAAGATGTTTTTGCTTAGAGAAGATTTAGACAGCAAAGATGCATTAGTATTCTATGGGAAAAATTCAATTTAAAAATCCCCACTAAATTAATAAGGAACATTTGCAGATAAGGAGTTTGTATATTTGAAGAGATACTGGGTGAGTTGCTGAAAAATTCCAGTTAAATGTACTGTGTATGTATGTAGCGTATCTAGGCTCAAAACTGAGCTACAGACTTCTTTCATGTGAATAACCATTTCAAGTATTGCATACTGTCTTAATGACCTTCTTATTAACCTTCTTTCTTTTATGTATCTCCAGTATGTTTTTAGGGAACTATGGAACCTAACAAATACTTGTCTTAAATCTTTTTTGATTAGTATTTGTAGAACCGAGAGTTTGAAATCACACAACACATACATGTACACATGCATACAAGTACAAATTGAGTTCCTTCAATCAACGAAGTGAGTTACACCTGAGGGCACTTGAAGCCCAGCGTGGAGTGACTTGATCAAGATTACCCAACCAGCCGGTGTCTTACCTGCAATCCAGGCCTTTTGATTTCAGTCAGTGCTCTTTTCACAATAAAACACTGCTTTCTCTGAATGTTATGATAAACTCATGTGTTACGGAGAAAAGTGAGTCATGATCCATCTCCTAAAGGACAGTTAATGAGAAAGGAAACTTAGGAATGCTGGGTGTCACCAGCTTTGCCCAGATGACTAAGCCACAGTTTCTCCTGTCTTGAAAGTTGTGCTCCTTTGTTACAGTGACTTCCATAATTGTGGAGCATGTTGGTGAGGTCTTGGAGCCAGGTAGTCATCAGTGCAAATTTCTGTTATTCCACCACTTACCAGCTTGCTGAGCCTTAATTTCCTCGAAATGGGGATGATGATGTAATCTTCACAGAGTCATGAGGATGGATGGGAACCTGTGTAAAGCATTTACTAGCATGTTCCAGGAACCTTTGCCCTTTCCCCTTGTGCTCAATTGCCTTATGTTTTCAGTCTCTGTACTATGTTTTGTCATATCGGTATTGACCTTAATAAACTCTTCATTTTGTTCCTATAAAATATGCATTCTGATTGCATGCACCTTTCCTTCTCAACTTCATAGAGCAATTCTTTGTTGTTAAATAGCATTTTTAGTTGTAGTTGATCATTATGTCATTGGAACTTAAACCTAATTATTTCCTTGAAAATAATTGCATGTATGATTTTGTTGTCTCTTCTCCAAAGTTAAGAGATAATCAAATAGAATTTGAGCCATTATAAGTCAGAATTAACAGATATCCTTTAAGTTTTGGAGTAAGTAGGAATTTGAACAGCATCTCCATATAGAAGTTTTCCTTAGGGAAAAATGTTTTGAACACTTCTAAGATTATAATTCTGACCGTTTCCTTGTTTTATGTTATAGTGAAAATGCCTCGTGTAAAAGCAGCTCAAGCTGGAAGACAGGGCCCCGCAAAGAGACATCTTGCAGAACAATTTGCAGTTGGGGAGATAATAACTGACATGGCAAAAAAGGAATGGAAAGTAGGATTACCTATTGGCCAAGGAGGCTTTGGCTGTATATATCTTGGTAAGTGTGTGACTGCTTCTAGTGGTCAATCCAAAGATGTATATGCTTATGAAAATGGTTTCTCAATTATGAGCTATTATAGGATGTTCCTAATAATCTGCAGTCAACTTAATAGTTTCTGATTAAGCAAAAATGCGTCTCTAACGTAGGAGTGGAAATTGCTAATGCAGTCACAACAGAAAAAGAGGGTAAAATAGCTGTAATACTATCATTAGTGAGCACTAGGACTTTAGATTTTTAAGATACTTTATGTAATCTTAATCTCTTTTGAGACCCAAAGAAACCCATGTACATATCTTTCCCCTCCCACCTCCACCTATGTGGGATTTATTCCCTCTGTCTAATTTGGAGATTTGCAAATCTTTTACAAGTGTGGGTTTCTTGTTTCTTTCTGTGCAACGCTCTTAGCCATCATACTGGAACTAGGAGAATTACCCAGAAACTACATATTAGGCCTGATTAAATGTGCAGATAACTAACATACTTATTCTGAAATTTTTGGGGACCCCTTGTGGAATCCTGAAATTGTTATATTAACTAAATTATGGACTTAAAAAATATTTTACCTGATTGCTTCTAAAGCTGTTTCCCCAATAAATATTAGTAGTGATACAATGCAATTCATATTTGCTTCTGATTTTTCTAACTTTTCCATTCTATATTCTCACTCTACTTCTAATCTCAGATTAATTAATTTTTGGAATGGAGGTTTATAAAATTTTATTTTTAGCAATATCTTACTCAATACTAATAATATGACAGATTAGTGTCACCTGGGAACTTGTTAGACCTGCAGATTTTTGAGCCTTACCTCAGACTACCAATCAGAAACCGTAGGGGGAGGGCCCAGCAGTGTTTGATCAAGGTGATTCTGATGCATGCTAAAGTTTGAGAACCACTGACGTAGGTGAATGACCATTGCCCTTACTCAAGAGGAGTAAACACTTCACCTGCTCCAGGACCAGTGGGCTGCCGTTGGTCAGTTGCAGCTTCTGTAGCTATCTTTATGAAACATAGCTTGAAATCTAGTGCTTTATCATATTTTATACATATGATTCCTGTCGGTCAGTGGCACCCTTTTTGTGAAATATGTGTTGATTCTCTCGTTTTGTTGAGAGCCAAACCCATTGCAGTGAACTAGGCTGTATCTCTGATTTATGGCAAAAATCCTTATAAATCATGAAAGAGTAGTGGCTATATTAGCCAGGTATATATTTTTGATCTTGTGATTTAGGGGAGATGGTAGATGATATAAGCTGTCTTTACTACAGGATATGTGGACTTATGCCATCCTATAATAATAGAAACCTGTCTCTAAAAAAATAGTTCTTCATTTTATATTAATTTACTTTTGTAACCGTTTGCAAATTTAAAACTTGCCTTGTATGTGTCTCTGTTTTATCTGTATTTATCATCAAAAGATGCCATCTAATAGTATTTTTAATAGGCAATGATTTGACCTCTGTAATAAAACTTTACTTTTATAAGGTTGGGATGACTAATCTGTAAAAGGAAGCACTTGCTTGAGTATTGTCGCCTCCAGTCTCTCTCTCTGTGATACACTGAAACAGCCAGATTCAAGATCATCAGCAGTTGCTGTTAATGAATTAAAAAGATTGCTTTTGAATTTTCTTTGCATTTTTTTCTATAGCATTTGATACTGTTTATCTTTGTTTCTCATAACAATTGCTTCCATTATCGTTTATGATAACATACCTTTCCCCTAGTTTTCTTTCTGCTTTTCTGACTGTGCTTCGTCATCTTTATAGGCACTTCTGTGTGTTCCAACTTTTCTTCTTCTGTTCACTTTTTATTCTATATATTCTATCTGAGTGATGTCAAGCTTCTCTTACTGTCTCTTTACTGTTGATTTCTCTCTGTTTTTTTCTGTAGCCTAGGACACGATTTCCTGAGTCCAGGTCCGTAGCCACTGGCCTGTAAGGAATCTCTACTTAGATATTCTACAGGCATTTCTAAAACTCGTATCATCATCTTTTATCTCCTGATCCTGTCATGAGGATTGTCTCAATGAATGACAGCCTTGAAGCCAGAAACTGGGAAGACATTCTTGAGCATTCCTTCACTAATATCCTAGTTCCTTTTCTAGTCCTGTTGTTTTACCTGGGTGACTTCTCAGATCCATTCATTTCTCTCCACCTTTGCAGCCACTGTCCTGGTCAGGTCATTATTATGTCTTGTCTGGACTCTGACTGTAGCACCGAGTCTTCTCTGTCCCAGTCTTGCTGCCTTGCACACCATTGTTATCAGTATGGCTTTTATGACCAAGTACACTGATCAGATAATATGATCATCCTGTTTAAACCTCTCTGATGGCTCCCCAGTGCCCTTCAAATAAGGTGCCAGACTTTTAAAGAGTGACATACAAGACCCTTCATATACAACATTTATCTTCATCTGTTTTATCTCCTCAAAGTCTGTGCTTCAGCCATCTTGCTGCCCTTTGACTCTTGATCTTTGTATATGATGCTTTAAAATTTTTTTAATATATTTTATTTTACATTATTTTTGTACCAAACCTGTGAAAAATTTTTAGTAGCTTTCCTGAGGTATAATCCATATACTTAGACTATTGGTTTAGCCTCTTGACTGATCTACCTGCCTCTGCCCCTTGCCTCTATACTCCATTCTCCACAAAGCAGCCGAAAGAAGTCTTTGTTACCACAGTCTGATTTTGCTGATCCTCTGCCAGTGGCTCCCCATCTCATTCATAGTGACAGCCGAAACCTATATGTTACCTGTTAAACCCATCGTGTTTGTTCCCTGCTGCTTTCGCTTTCTGATCTCTCTTCTTCTGCCTCACTTAGTTCTCCCCAGCTCTTTTGTCTGCTTGTTTTCCAAACATGTCAAGCATACTCCTGCATCAGGGTCTTATTTATTTATTTGTTTATTTAGAGATGGAGTCTCACTCTTTTGCCCAGACTGGAGTGGAGTGGCATGATCTTGGCTCACTGCAACCTCTGCCTTTCAGGTTCAAGTGATTCTCCCACCTTAGCCTCCCAAGTAGCTGGGATTACAGGTGCGTGCCACCACCATGCCCGGCTAATTTTTGTATTTTTAGTAGAGACAGGGTTTTGCCATGTTGGCCAGGCTGCTCTCGAACTCTTGACCTTGGTAATCCACCTACCTTGGCCTCCCAAAGTGCTGGGATTGCAGGTGTGAGCCACTGTGCCCGCCCACATCAGGGTCTTGGTGCTGCTTTCCCTGGGGTACTCTTCACTTAGATGCGTACATGGTTTATTCCCTCCCTGCTCTCAGGCCACTGCTCGGGTAACACCAGGTCAGTGTTACTTGTGGCCACTCTGCTTACCTCTCTTTCCTGCTTAATGTGTCCTCTACAGCACTTCACACTGTCAGATGTACTTCATATTTTATTTCTGGTCTGCATCCTACCACTGAAATGATGGCTTTGTAAGAGTAAGGATTTTCTTTTTTTTTCGTAAGTGAGGATTTTTTCCTGTTCATTGCTAAATCTCTATTTCCTAGAAACTGACATTTAGTATGTACTTGGTAAATATTTGTTTAATGAATATGGGCAACCTTATTTTTCTAACTCAGTATTCTGGGGCAACTGTACTTCTTTATTTGCTTGAAATAAAATGACAGCCACATTAAAATTATTCTGATGGCAGTTGAAAGTTCTAGTGCCAACATCCTGAACTATTGGTCCAGATAAGTTTTTCCTAAACTAGTGCTTTTTAGAACTTTAGCTTCCTCATTTTTTACTCTTCAGATGCTCCTCTTAAAAGAATTTCATACTTTATTAAAGAAATGTATCACTTACCCTCTGAGGAATTCACAATATCCTTTAGCATATCAAAGGCCATTAGTACTTTTGAATAAAGAAATCTTTAACTTATTTAACTCAGTTTCCCATATGTAATTGATAATCATATGGAAGAAACCAGAAATTGTAAGATGTATTCTAAATTCAGATATGGTAAAACATGAACAAAAGTCTTAAAATATGTGAAATGTACTGTAATATTCTGAGAAACATATTTGGGAACTGAAGTGTATTCTATCAAGGGTTACAGATACACAAACCTAAATATTAATATATTTATAACATTACTTGTTCTGATGTTAAATATTTTACTTTTTTAAACAGCTGATATGAATTCTTCAGAGTCAGTTGGCAGTGATGCACCTTGTGTTGTAAAAGTGGTAAGAAATATTTTAGCTAATTTGTTTCTTTTCTGTTGATTTGGTGTAGTATTTGTTTTGTAAAATGCCTTTTTTGATGAGCTAGAATTGATTAAACCATAAGATACCAAATTTTTAATAATTTAAAAAATATGTAATAAGACACAAAAGTAGCTTTATAGTTTTAAATCACTTGAGTGTGAAAATTTCCTCTCTTGAAATAAAGTGGTCCTGGTATTTGGGGGTAAATGAATGAAAGCATAGAGGCATGCAGATGTGGAATAAAAATATTCAGCTCATTTAAGAAATTTCAGCTACTTTTACAGATACTTTTTATATTTATATCCTATAAGTATACTAATTTAATATAATTTTATTGTATTTTATTTTGCATTTGCTTCTGGACTTCCACTTGGTCAGTTTTTTTCTGTTTATTCCCAGTTTTCTTCCCCTTCCATTTTTGTAAATTAAATTATTTATTTAGTTGTGATTGTTGGGCCTTTTTTGCTATAATAATGTTGAAATTAGTTTGTAATGAGTAAAGATTGGCGACATCCTGTCTGACATAAGCATACTTCTAACAGCCAGATCAATTTATATGTTGGCAAACTAGAAGACATTTAAACTATTTTTTAAGTCAATTATGTACCTTTTTGCTTACCAACATTTGTTACTCCCCTTCTTCAAAGTTATTTGATACATATGAAGAATATGTTTTGGTAAAATAGAAGAACCAACAGGATGTATTATCTGGGCAAATTAACATATAACTCCTCCCTTACTTTTTCTCCTACAGGATACATGTATTAGGGTTCTCTAAGGGGACAGAACTAATGGGATAGATGTACATATGAAGGGAACACCCCCACAATTTAATTACCTCCCACCAGATCCCTCCCACAACCTCATGGGGATTATGGGAGCTACAATCCAAGATGAGATTTGGGTGGGGACACAGCCAAACCATATCAGCCAGAACTCAGGAATTAGGATTACTCTGAAGGTTTTCATTTTGTTTCATTTTACTCCCTTTTATATTTTATCTCTTAGGAGTTAGGAGTCAGCTTTTTTGGACCTTTTTAGTGATTTTTAAACTTTTTAAAAAAAATTGAGGCATAATTTTTACAGGGAAGTACGTAGATATAAAATGAACAATTTGAAGGCTTTTGACAAGCACATATACCTGTGTATCCCTCACCTCTTAAAATGTAGAACATTTCCATCACACTAAAAAGATTCCCTATGTTCTTTATCAGTCAAAACCCTACTCCCTTGCACCGTTGGAGGCAACCACTTGTCTTGAGTTGTTTTTTTTTTCTTTTTTTGCTGTGAATGAGTTATTCCTGTTCCAGAAGGTTGTGTAAATGGTATTAAACGGTATATATTGTTTTGTAACTTCTTATGCTCAGCATAATGTTTTAATGGTTCATCCATATTGTTGGTGTATCAATCATTTGATTTTATTGCTCTCTTGATAGACATTGGGGTTGTTTCCAGTTTTTGGTATTATGAGTAAAGCTTCTATAAACATTCTTGTACAAGTGTTTTTATGGACATAGGTTTTTTTCTTGGATAAATACTTAGAGTTGCTGGTTTATAGGGAAGATGTCTATTTAAACTTATAAGAAAGTACTAGGCAGATTTCCAAAATGGCTGTGCTCTTTTACACATTGGCCAATAATATATGACAGTTCTGTTTGTTTCCTCTTCAACATTTGGCATTGTCAGGTGTGTGTATTTGTTTTTTAGCCATTACAGTTAGCGTGTAGATGTGAGTTATAGTTTCAGTTTGCATTTACTTGATGTCTAATGATTTTGGGCAGTTTTTTGTTGTGCTTATTGGCCATTCATGTATTTTCTTTTGTGGAGTGCCTCTTCCATCGTTTTTGCCCCTTTCCTCTTATTTTTATCTTTTAAAAATAACTGGGTTGTTTTGCTTTTTATAATTGAGTAGTAAGAGAGTTTTTTTCTGGATGCAGTTCCTTTTTCAGATACGTGTTTTAAACATTTTCTACTGTAGTTTGCCTATTCATTTTTTGAATGCTTTTTCTACATCTGAGATGAATCACAGGATTTTTCTCCTTTATTCTGTTAATGTGGCAGTTACATTGATTGATATTTGAGTATTAACCAAACTTTGTATTCTTAACATACACTCCACTTAGTCATGGTGTATTACACTTTTTACATACTGCTAGAACTGATTTGTGAATACTTCGTTAAGCATTCTTCTGTCTTTGTTCATGAAGGATAGTGGTCTTTCGTTTTTTTCCCCACTGTTTCTTAATTTAAAGTTTCCAATCTCATTGTTGATTTTGGTAGCAGAGTTCCCTACCTGGCACTCTGGTCTTCCCCGTTTTGCCCTGTAGGTCTCTTAAGTCTCCTCCTTTTTACTCCTAGGGCCTCTAGGAGAAAAAACCAGGGCTGCCATGGACTCACTTTGTTTTCTGTGTTTTAGGGGTCACAGTCCTCCTGTCCTGCCCATTATCTAATTTCTGAAAACAGAAATTTTGTTTTTTTAAAGTCTGTTTTTATCTTTGTTTGCAGCGGGAGGGCTGGGTCCCAGTTATTCCCTCGTGCAGGGAAGCGGAAGCAAAGTGATGCCTTTCAAGTTGTGTCAGTGCTTTATTTCTCCTGCCCCTTTTCATGATGGCCTTTCATTGTGGATTTTTCTTCTTTTTCATTTATGGAATAACATTCTTTTGGGAATATTCAGCCTGCTGCTAAATCAGAGGAACTAAGTTCTTACTATTAAATTGGGTCATTTGTATTTAATTGCAGAATATTGTGTCCATTTGTTTTTGATAATACAAATTAAAATATTAAAATATATGGGTAAGATGAGTTTCTTCTTAGGTTCATTAAGAGTTCTGTTGTGAGAAGAAAGCAAGTCTCCTTATGACGTCTCATAATGTTGAGGTTCAAATGATGTGGTTACCTCTGACCCCTTGCAGTTAGTTGGCATAGCCATTTCTGTGTCTTGGAAGGAAAGTGTGCCAGTGTCATATCTTGTAGGTGGAATGGTGTATAATCATGTCTTTTTTGTTCTGTATAGCCTAAACTTTTTTTTTTTTTTGAAAAAGGGTCTCACCCTGTTGCCTGGGCTGAAGTGCATTGGTGCAATTATAGCTCATTGCAGCCTTGATCTCCTGGTTTCAAGTGATCCTCTTGCCTCAGCCTCTCTAGTAGCTGGCACTACCAGCATGCACCACCATGCCTGGCTAATCTTTTTGATTTTTTAGTGGAGATGAGGTCTTGCTTTGTTGCCCAGGCTGGTGTCAAACTCAAGCTCAAGTGATCCTTCCCTCTCAGCCTCCTAAAGTGCTGGGGTTACAGGCGTGAGCCATGGCACATGGCCTCTGAACTTAAGTTGTATTTTATCTTAGAATGATGTGCTTTCTTATTGTACTTAGAAATATTTCTGTTGTTCTAATCACAAATATTTCTGTTGTGATTAGAAGTATTTCTGTTGTTAGTCAGTGTAACTTGACTTTTACTGCCTTTTTAAGTTACACGGTTAAGAAAAAACATGGCCAGGAACAGGTATTTTCTATATGCTTATGGTAATGAATTATATTTTTAAGTTTAAGAACAAGTACCTAGTTTAGGACTGTGTATCTCCTGTCTCCTGATTTAGTTCTGTTTCCATTATCCTTTATTATTTCTTCTCTTTGTAATTAGGACAGTGATAAATACTCAGTTGATTTTTCTTTTGCATTTAATGTTTTAGTAACTTTTTGGATATTGTAGTTATCCTAGAAGAATGTCATACACAAAACAATATTACTGACCAGGCGCAGTGGCTCACGCTTGTAAACCCAACACTTTGAGAGGCTGAGGCGGGTGAATCACTTGAGGTCAGGAGTTCAAGACCAGCCTGGCCAACATGGTGAAACCCCATCTCTACTAAAAATACAAAAATTAGCCAGACATGGTGGTGCATGCCTGTAATCCCAACTACTCGGGAGGCTGAGGCAGGAGAATCACTTGAAACTGGGAGGTGGAGGTTGCAGTGAGCTGAGATGGTGCCGCTGCACTCCAGCCTAAGCTACAGAGTGAGACTCTTATCTCAAAAAAAAAAAAATCCCCAAAATAAAACAAAAAATAATATTATTGACTTTCTCTTTCCTTTGAAGGGGAAATTTGTAACTTCTATTTGCTTCTTTTCCCCTAACACTCTCTCCTGAATAAACACCTATAGCACTCATTGTATTAACATTTATTTTAGAATTTTATTCTTCTTATGCCACTAGTTGTTTTTAGTTTTTTTGAATGTGTTTATTCTGTCTCTCTAACTAAATTTTAAATTATCTGATAAGGACCTTGTCAATGAAGTTTGTTTTCCCTATGCGGTCTCTAGATGCTTGTTTTATTTATTCTTTTGAATACTTTTTAGCCATTAATTGCCCATTGCCTTTTTACTGCTCTCTTCATTTACTCTCAACTTCCTGATGTCCTTCACTTTCCTGTCTTATCTGTACCATAGAGAGTAGGCCCACTCATAATTTGCCTTCTCACAACTTTATAATATTAATAGTTGAAATGTTTCACCAAATAACAAACATGTAAAATGAGTATCAGTTCTTCCTGGTATTAAAATCAGAACTGTTTATGAACATTTGTCATTTAAAACATTATGGGCTATTAAAGATCATGTTTTCAAAGAACATGTACTACTCTTTGGGGAAGTTTTATAATTATTTCTAAAAAAGCAGGATACAAAGTTCTATATGTAGTATGAAGGTTTTATAAAATGGCTATTTATGAAGAAAATATATCAGAATTTCCATATTTTCTAAAATGAGCATGTATTTTATCATTAGAGAAAAAACTTGCAAATGTTACTTAAGAAATAAAGGTAAATTGATTTTCTAATGTGAAATTTTACTTAATAATGGACTAGCATATCAAACAGTGATTCTCAATCTTGGTTGTAGAGTATAATCAGAATCTCTGGGTGCAGGGCCTGGTTATTGGTATTTTTAGTAAAGCTTCCCAGGTGATTCTTTTGTGCATCAAGATTGAGAGCCACTGGTAGAATCTGGCACACAGAGCACCTTAATTATTTTAAATGGAATCATGTGTGCAGGCACATTTTTATCCTTGTTTTCAGTAGGGGTTTGCAGGTACCCTGTGCTGCTGGTAAGGGTTTCTAACTTAATGTGGACGCTTTGTCAAGAAATTGGTTATTGCTGATAATACACGTATCTGCCTTATGAAACAGCTCCAGATAGTTAACCCACAACTTTCTTATTTGGCATTGGAGTGAAGTTAAGACATACCCATTCAAGGTAGATGTTAGGCACATATTAAAAATGTTCTCCCATGTACCAAATGATGGTCTCTGGTTTTGTTTGGGGCCTTAATTCTTGAGCTGCAGGAGAAACATTATTTTATTTCTGAAAGTAACTGTGCAGAGAGAAATGTTAAATTGATAATAAGTTGGATAATGCAAGGAGAAAGAAATTTTCTTTTGTGTTCTCTTGCTGACGGGCTTAATATGAAATTAGTAGTTCTTTGGGTTTTTTTTTTGTTTTTTTTTTTTGAGACGGAGTCTCGCTCTGTTGCCCAGGCTGGAGTGAGTGGCATGATCTCAGCTCACTGCAAGCTCCGCCTCCCAGGTTCCCGCCATTCTCCTGCCTCAGCCTCCCGAGTAGCTGGGACTACAGGCGCCCGCCACCTCGCCCGGCTAGTTTTTTTTTTTGTATTTTTTAGTAGAGACGGGGTTTCACCGGGTTAGCCAGGATGGTCTCGATCTCCTGACCTCGTGATCTGCCCGCCTCGGCCTCCCAAAGTGCTGGGATTACAGGCTTGAGCCACTGCGCCTGGCGAAATTAGTAGTTCTTTGAATTGCACTTACCCTTAGTCATTTCAGTAGCAGAACTAGAGGCAGAGGTCAGGCTTTTGGTTGGTATCCTAACAGGTCATTGTATCGTCGTCTTTTTCTGATGTGAACTGATATGAATCTGTATTTCACAGGTCCTTGGAAAGAAGTTTGCAGACTGATGTTTCATTTTCCTCACTGATGTTATGAGAAGTGACCTGAATTTTTAATTCATATATCATAATTTTTTGGTAGGAAGGAGAAATTTTGTACAGCTTCATTTTTAAATGGCAGCCAGTTGCTTTTAGCTGGTGCCATTGAAATGTATCACATTTTAATTTTTTTTCTGTTGTCATCTTCATTTTGACACTTAGAAGTCTTAAAGAAACGTTTAGTGATATTCTAGTTAAAATGTCAGTCCCAATTTCTTTTCTAAATCTTGGCTATTATAGAGTTGGCAGAGTATTTTAGATTTGAAATATGTTAATAAAATTTTAGTTATGAGTTAAGGTATTTTCTTCAACAGGAATAGCTAGCTTTGGCTAGAGTGCAATGCCAAGGAAGTAGCTCCTTTATTTTGTGATAATGGAAGTTTATTGGATTAGAAGAAGTATGAAATGAGCCCGGAGAGCCTTCTTGTAGTGGGCTTTCATTATAATAGCCTGATTTGTATGGTTGATTCTCATTATTTTAAGTTAATAAATTATTGCCTGAAGGAAAACTTGAAAGTTAAAGTTGATATGACGTAGGCTGAAACTGAATAAATCAGAATTTTATATTGATTTGTCTTAGGAAAAACCTCTTTCAAACCTGAATTATATAAATGAGCTATTCCAAAGGTAAGCTTTGGAGAGGAACTTTACCAGAATTCCTCTTTTTGAATTTCTGTTTCTTACACTGATTCTGTGATTCCTACCGAAGACCTATTCTTAGCCATTGGCTGGAAACATTGCAAGTTTCTCTTGCAGATGCTTGCAAGTGTCAAACTATTGTTGCTGCTAGGAAAGGAGCCACAGGTTATAGAGAAACTTGGGTGCTGAGTCCATAAATTAAGGAATCAGCACTCATACTTTTTCAGTATGTTGGTTAGTTCCTACTTCTTAAGGAGTTGATGCATGCCAAGCCATGATACTACTGTCTTCCAAGGTTAGGGTGAAAAGTGTACTTACCTGTAACAAATAAGGCAAGCTTATTTTCAGGTTGTGATCCAAGTGTTAACAGTGTGTTGCCCATTTGCTGTTAAATGCTCATTCATAACTGCCTGACTCTGCAGATTGGCTAATCAGTTTTCCTCTAAGTACTTTATTTTTGAGACGGAGTCTTGGTTTGTCTCCTAGGGTGGAGTGCAGTGGCACAGTCTCAGCTTACTGCAACCTCTACCTCTTGGGTTCAAGTGATTCTCCTCCCTCAGCCTCCTAAGTAGCTGGGATTACAGGTGCCTGCCACCACAGCCAGCTAAGTTTTGTATTTTTAGTAGAGATGGGATTTCAGCATGTTGGCCAGGCTTGTCTTGAACTCCTGACCTCAAGTAATTCACCCGCCTTGGCCTCCCAAACGCTGGGATGACGGGCATGAGCCACCATGCCCACCTTCCTCTAAGTACTTTAACTGGGGATTCCTATTTTCTGAATTATAAGAAATCTGAGATTATTAGAGCAGAGAGTGTGGAGTGGTTTTCTACAGTTGAGGATGTCTTCATTGAAGAAAAGGTGAACATATTTTAAGTGCTTGCAAAAGTCATCTCTAGTAACCCAAAACTATAAATTATCTCTCATTTAAGATAGTAGGCCTCATTGCCCACTTCCCCCAATGCTCTATTTAACTTTGAACTCCAGCTACACAAGATATTCTGCCCAAAATAATTTTTTTCTCATACCTCCTAAAAAGAAAAGCAACCCCAAAATTAGTTTAAAAATGTTAGTTTCCTCATTTGAAGTTTTCACTGCTTTAAATACTTTTTTCTGATTCCCAATAAATAATGACCAACACAAAATACCAAACATTAAATAAATACTAATTTTAATCAGATGAAATTTACTATTTAAAAAGTCCACAGAATTATGAGATCTTTTCCACTCATATATTTACTTAACAAGACAAAACTGCTGACAGGCTGTCATTTCTTGTTTGTGCAAATACCTTTTTCTGAATGTATGTTTCTTTAGTAATAATTTTAATTGTTAATATCTCTAAAAATATAAAATGAATGTAGTCCATAACGTTGGTAGAAGACAATTGTTAATGAGCCCCATGTTTTTCTTGACTTTAAATCATGTGGGAAATAAGTTGAATGGCTCTTTGGTTTGACAAACGTAGGAATCCGTGGCAGAAAGGAAGGATGCAGGTTAGTGGACAGTGCATGCTTGTTAAGGAGATGCAGAATATGCACTCTTCTTTGTAGTAAGGTCTGTTTTTGCCAGTCCTGATAAAGTAGATATAACTGTAATGAAAACAGGAAAGGAATGGGATTTTGGCATTAATTGGTTAAATCAGGTATTGAAATTTTATTAAATCTGAGAAATATCTTGTAGCCCCTTGGTGATACAGTTAAGATGGTTGCTCATCTTTGCTTAAGGGAAAGCTTAATAAAGATGAAAATTAGTTTAAACATTTTTCTTAAACTTCTGCAGGCTGAGCTATATATCTGGTTTTGTATAATATATCACTTATAGAAATGGAACTTGAGCAATGTAAGAAATATAGACTAATATTTCTCTGAACATTTCTAAGGAGTTTGACTTAACACAGTTATAAACTTAAGTATCAAAATTACATTGGACAGAAAAATAGATTTGTTGGTCTTCTTTGAAGGTTCATTGAAAATATCTCAGTAATTTTAACTACTGCTAGTACTAATTAACTCTTATATTTTAAGGAACCCAGTGACAATGGACCTCTTTTTACTGAATTAAAGTTCTACCAACGAGCTGCAAAACCGGAGCAAAGTAAGAAGTACAGTACACATACGTTTACACTTTTAAAATGATCAACTTTTTTTTTAAGCCAAGACCTAGAGCATTATATCTTATTTTTTATGACTCTTTGTTATTTTTTTGCTTTACAAATTCCACTTACGTGAGATTTGTATGAAAGAATTCTGGTCTTTTAATGGGTTTGTTGCATCAAGATTTTATCTGTATTGATATGTAGAATAAAGTTAATAATAAATGACCTATGATTTAGGAAATACTGTTAAACATTGAGAATTATTGTTGAACTAGAACAAGATATCAAGGTAGAGAGCCAGAACCTCTCCTAGTTACTTTAGTCCCTTCTGTCCTTTTTCTATCTCTCCTAGATCTTGATTTCCTGGTTGAGGACTTTTATATTGAGGAAGAAAAACCTCTTAGATTGGTGTGAAAAATAGGTCTTCCTATAGAAGCAAGTAAACATTATGTAATTAGAGAGATAGAACCTGCAACTTCAGGATAGTCCACCGCAGTGAGCTGAGATCCGGCCACTGCACTCCAGCCTGGGCTACAGAGCAAGACTCCGTCTCAAAAAAAAAAAAAAAAAAAAACCACAATAAAAAATAACAATAGTAAAAAATAATACAAATAAAAAACTAGTACAGTGTAACAACTATTGATACAACATTTTCGTTGTATTACGTATTATTAGTAACCTAGAGATGAGATCAAGTATACAGGAGGATGTGTGGAGGTTATATGCAGCTATTACACCATTTTATATGAGGGACTTGAGCATCTGGATTTTGGTATCTTGAGGGGTGGCGGTTCCTGGAACCAAGCCCCTAGAACAAAGGAATGACTGTACTGTGGTTGTGATTTTTTAAAAAAATGCTTTTTATAGATTTTTCATTTTAAAGACAATTTTAAGGGCAGGATAACAGTTTTGTAGGTTAATAAAAATGTTTTCATTGTAAAATGCTTTTCATTACTGTATTCTTCATTTTCTTTTTTATGAATACAGGCGAATTCTTATTGCATGTTTAAATACATTTTGCTCTTAATGATTTTTTAAAAAATTATCATTTATGTATAACAATTGAAATCACAAAGATCTGTTTGAATTTGTAGTTCAGAAATGGATTCGTACCCATAAGCTGAAGTACCTGGGTGTTCCTAAGTATTGGGGGTCTGGTCTACATGACAAAAATGGAAAAAGGTAAAAATATGTGTGATTTGTCTTTCTCCTTCCCTTTTGCAACATTCGCTATTTAGTTGGTTTAGTCAGTAATTATTTTCTGATCACTTACAATATTACTAGGCCTCCCTCTAGACTATGTGGAATGTATGTGACAGAGAGGAATAAGATGTTATCTCTGTCCTCTGCTTTCCATAGCAGCGGGCTATAATGTCCTATTAGAATAGGGGTGCCTCTCTAGTAAGGGGACTTCTACAGAGCAATATCAACTGACAGGGAGGAACAAAGCCAAACAGACCCTGCATTTTTTCCTTTGCCCTTAAAAATAAACAAACTATGTTCTTTATGCAAAAGGGAGCCCCTTCAGGATTCCATTTGGTATTTCATGTTGGATACGTAATCTGCCCACACCAGATCAGGCTCACCCTTTATGAGGGATTTAGTGTAGCTGGTGAGTGAAAGCAAATATGTATGAAACAATTAGAGAACAATTAAGTGCAAAATTGTATGATACTGATTTGTGTGTCTTAGGAGTTCAGAGAATGGAGAGAACGAATTCTTTGGGATAGTTTATTTGGAGAAAACCTCTAATACTTTGGTGCATAAGCAGCACTTAATACATATTTGAATGAATCAATGGAACTTCATGGAGTAAGGCTTTGGTAGCTGAGACGTGAAGGGTAGATTTAGTTTGGAACTGGGGATACATTGCTTAGGATGATTTCAGCTGCAAGTAAAGGAAAACTTTGACTCAGGCAGTCATCAAGGGCCCAGGTTCCTTATCTTGCACCTTTGCCCTCCTCATCTTAGTTTTGTTCTCTGTTAGTTCTCCATTGTGTGGTCGCCAGGTGGCTGCTCCATTTCTAGGCTTCACATGCAGGCACAGTACCCAAGGGCACAAAATGGTATCTATCGTGTGTTGTGAGTTTCACTTTCCTGGCAAAGAAAGCTTTCCCAGGAGCCCTGTGGCAGACTTCCTCTCATGTTTTCTTGGTCAGAATTTTATCAATACTTACTCTTAAACTATTCACTGGCAAGGACAAAGTGATCACAGTGATCCATGCGGAAAAGGATGGAATGCCAGAACCAAATTGGTGCTCCGTTAGAAAGGATTAAGAGGAGGGGTAGTAGTTGGGTAGGCAGCCAGTGTTGTTTACTTGGGAACCATGCCTCTCTTAGGGAGTGTGGGGATTCCTGAAGTCACGTTGAACGTTTTATTTTATATGATTTTGCTGGGATAGCAAAATATGTTATAGTTTTTATAATATTTTCTTGAGAAATACTATAGAACAAGGATTAGTTAAGAGCAAGGATTCTAGAGCTAGACTGCCTAGTTTTAAAACCTTGTTTTGCCCTTTAAAATGTGTGTGACTTTGGGCAATTTTTTGCTTTAATTTTCTTATCTGTGAAATGGAGTAACAGCTAACCACTTAATGATGATTAAGTATAATGCTACAAGAGTATATGTAGAACATAGATGTTAGCTTTTGCTCTCAAAGGGGTCTTTAATCGCTTAAATGTTAAAACCTACTGGTTTAGAAAATCATTGAGGAGGCGGAATAGCATCCTTAGCGAGAGATTAACGTGAGCACAAGGATAGACTTCTGTTCTACTGTATGACTCAATGGCCGTCTTCCTCTAGCAGAGGAAGAGGGCATGCGTGTAAGAGAGAAGGAAGTAAACTTGGAGAAAAAGTCGGTGGCAGATAATGAAGACCCATAGAGGAAGGAACAGTTTGGAACCAATGTCTAGTAGGTAGTCAGAAGCTATCACTTGCTCTTGAGCAAGGGATGAGGTGACACGGTGGTGAAGGTGGCATTTGGGAAATGGTTTACATGGTGAATTAAAGACTGTCTAAAGGTGAGTAAGACAAGAAAAACCCTTAGTGATGACTTGCTAGGAAGCAAATCTGTTTGACTGTGTGCTCCAGTATACAATAGTTATATTTCTAAGGAACAGTACGTTATGGAAACCACATTTCATAGAGATGATTGGAAGAAAAGTGTGCCTGGGGCTAGAGCATTTTTCCACTTGGAATAACAGCCTTTTCCTCTTTCCATAATTTCAATATAAACGTCAAACAAAAAACAAAAACAAAAACCAAGTACAGTATATTGCAGCAAAACCTAAACACCAAACAAATCTAGCACTAGATTGATTGTACTTGACTGCATCAGGTGTGGTCATGGGCTGGTTAACTTTCTGTCTCTCTCGTTTCCCTGTCTGTGAGATGAGGATAATAGTACTTTATGAATTACTGTGAAGATGAAATGAAAACATGTAAATTATAAGGGGCACATAGTAAGTGCCCAGGAAATATTTCTTGCAGTCATCATCACTGTGATTATCATAATTGGTTTCATTTGTTTGTCTATGATTTTTGTTTGTCAGTGGTGATATTTTGCTTAAGAATGATGGTCTTTTTAAAAGTAGCCCAAACTGTCATATCACATTTTACCATATACATTCTTATCACCCATTTTATGATAAAGTTTGGAACCAGTTAAACAGGGCTTTTGTTTGTATAACTCCTGTGAGGTGACCGGGGGCTAACTGAGTCCAAGGTTGACACTGTAAGCTGACTGACGAGGGCACTGCTGGAAAGAACTTCCCTGGTGTGGATCAGAAGTGCCTTAGAATGTGGTGACAAACGAGAACACAGTCTAAGTCTTAACTCACCACTTATTAGTGATGACTTTACCTCTTAGCCCATTTCTTCTATACAATGAGGTTGCTAGAAATGTCTCCTTTAAAAGATGGCGTTAGTCATATATCAGGCATTGATTTGCTTTTTAGGTTGAAGCTCTTAAAAAGAATCACCGTAGGTCTTAGAAAGTAAAGAAATAGAAAGTAGATTATTCTTCCAGCCCCTCCCGCGCCAGACATCCTTAGTTTTTCTTGTAGCTCATTTGAATTATTATGTATGTAGGGCTTAGAGCAATGTTAGCTGCTACCGTTATTAAATTATTTATACTGATGTATATTTTTCTTTTACTTGCACATTTTTATTCAAGTCTCCAGAAAAGTCTACATCAAAGGTTTTACTTTAGAGAAGTTACTTAGAAATAACTTCCATTTTACTACTCAATGGTAGAGCTGTCTTCCCAGAAGAATGTGGTAATGGTTTCTATAAAATTTGTGGAATCATGTTTCAGTTGATGTTTATGATTTAGGTGTGGTGACAAGATTAAGGGCTTAATAAGATGGTGGTAGGGTGATTTGTGAATAAAAACAAAGACCTATGTAATAGAATTTATTGATAGACCCCATGTTGAATTAAGCAGTTGTGTTTTAGCCATCTTTCAGGCTGTTACAGAGGTTGGATTTTTGTTACCTGTGTATTACAGGCCTTAAGTATCCCTTATCTGAAATGTTGGCACCAGAAGTATTTTAGATTTGGGATTTCTTAAGGATTTTGGAATATTTGCATTAATACCTACTGGTTGAGCATCCCAAATCCGAAAATGGGAAACCCAAAATGCTCCAATGAGCATTTCCTTTGAGCATCATGTTGGCACTAAAAAAAACTTTCTAATTTTGGAGCACTTCTGATTTCAGATTTTCAGATTTGAGATGCTCATCCTATATTATAATCATTACACACATCACCTATTTAGTAAAAGCCAACATGTATATGTGCCCTGGTTTCATCTCTCAACCTTTCAAAACCTGTTATACAGAGGAAACCAGACCAGGAGTCAAAGTTACCATTTTCACTTTGTTATCTTACAAGCCAGGGTGCTAGGAAATCCTACATGAATGAATACATTTTGTCACTTTTTTCCCGCCCCCCCCCCAGATGGAGTTTCACTCTTGTTGCCCAGCTGGAGTGCAGTAGCTCAGTCTCGGCTCACTACAATCTCTGCTTCCCAGGTTCAAGCAATTCTCCTGCCTTAGCCTCCTGAGTTGCTGGGATTACAGGCACCTGCCACCATGCCAGGCTAATTCTTGTATTTTTAGTAGAGACGGGTTTCACCATGTTGGCCAGGCTGGTCTTGAATTGCTGACCTCAGGTGATCCACCAGCCTTGGCCTCCCAGAGTGCTAGGATTACAGGCGTGAAGTACTGCGCCCGACCACCACTGACTAATTTTATAACCTTGGACAAATCGCTTTACCTCTGAAGACCTTAGTTATTTTATTTATTAAAAGATGTTTAGACAAGATGATTTTCTAATTTTCTTCCAATTCAAAAATGAATAGAATTCTGAGTTACTTGTTCAGCATCTTGTCTTTTAATGTTAGTCAACTCTTCCTTCCCTATTGAACTTGTCATATTGTTATCATAGAAGTCTACAACATATAAATGGGGTTTTTGTATCCTACTGACATTTATTTCAGTATATGTAGTGCAGTGGTTAAAAGCATGATTTTGCCACATACTAGAGTACAAATTATCAGTTTTCTTCTGCTGTAAAATGGGGATGATAGGAATTACCTACCTTATAGAGTGACGTGAGGTTTAAATGCATTAATAACATTTTAAGTACTTACAGTAGTGCTGTGCTTATACCAGGTGTTCAGTGAATGCTAGATGTTAGAGTGTTGATGAGTCATAATCTTCCTTGTTGGAGATGTCCTGAAACATTCTGAGTGTGGTTTTGGTTTTTATTGATTTACTGAATGATTTCACCAGACAAATTAGAATCTGGAAAACTGTTGAAGGTAAAAGTGGTCCTCAGAGCAGAAGCTGAGCAGTGTTATTGCAAATAGGTGATGCTTTTCTGTACATACTGAAATACAACATGATTATTGAATCTGAGTTTTGGGTGCTGGAAGTGACCTTAGAAAGGGTGAGTCCCTACTCTCTCATTTTACTTCTGTGGAAATTGAGGCCCAAGGAAGTAATGTGACTCAGCCAAGGTGACATAGCTGCTTTACGGCCAAACCAATTATCTTCACGTTTTTCCAGGATATTTGTTTTTCCCCAAATCTTGACCATTGAGTGTTTAATGTACAATCCTTCTGCGCCATTTAAACAATGGTATTGAATCTGGCTCTTGTTAAAGCATCTGACAAGAATCTTGATTTTAGCAGAATGTTGTTACTGCTGAATATACCTTAAAAATACAGAGAAACAGTCACAGGAAGGAAGCTGATATCCAGAAACATTAATTAATTTTAACTATGAGAAAAATCAATGCTGTCATTTTTATTTAGCTTGTTTTATTTTTACTGTGAATAAACCTGTTGGGTTCTCTCTGTGAGCATTATCTTAAATTGAATAGTCTCCTAAAACTAGCTGAGACCAGGAAGAGGCCCTCCAGGTAAAAAGCAGGACCTGAAAGCACTCTGAACTCTTGAGATTTCTAGTTGGGAGAAATTGTTGCAAATGTTTGTATTTCTTTTTTTAAAAAAACGTATTTACTAAACATTGTCTTGAAAAGATTACTTTGAGAGTACTTATTGCAAAGTTGGTTTTCTTGAATTGTATTTTGTTCATTGGCTTTTCATATTTGTCTTCAGTTATAGGTTTATGATAATGGATCGCTTTGGGAGTGACCTTCAGAAAATATATGAAGCAAATGCCAAAAGGTTTTCTCGGAAAACTGTCTTGCAGCTAAGCTTAAGAATTGTATGTGAGCTATATTCTTCTTGTTTTTAAAAAATTGTTTTTAGTACAGTAAAGGCTAGTTTATGTTGAAGCTTGGTCCTCTGCTGGCTGGTGTTAGGTACTGCATTAACTTATTCTGTATGTATTTTCATAGCTGGATATTCTGGAATATATTCACGAGCATGAGTATGTGCATGGAGATATCAAGGCCTCAAATCTTCTTCTGAACTACAAGAATCCTGACCAGGTAGTTTTATAACTTTAATTTCTACTATTTAAAACGTGTTGTTTGAAAATAAATATGGTTGCTTTGAACTTTTGAACCTATGTAGAAGTTTTACTTTTTGAAGTAGATTTGGTAATAATATTTCTTCTTGACACTTTGATCTAGTTAACATTCTACATTTTTGATGTGATTTGTTGGCACTTTATCAAGTTGGCTATTTTGCCCTAAATAAGATTCAGAAGAAGTGCTTGTGATACAAAACGAATTTCAAATAGCTATTTGGGGGTGGAAGCTTAAAATTATATAGTACACCAATGAATTATGTTTGCCTGTCTGCTTTGTCACTTTTTTTATTCCTTTGTTCAAGAAATCCATCAAATGTAAGTGTTCTATTACTTGGAAAATTTGGTCTTTAACATGTTGATTATTCAAATCAATTGGTTTACAGAAATATCTTAGCTGTCTAAATTTGTATACCCTTAGTGTTTGGAATTCAAATGTGCATTTTTTTTTTTTTTTTGCTTATTACATTCCCTTGTAATTTTTACTTTCTAATGAAAGGAGAAAAGCTAATGTTATTATACCTTTATTTAGGTGAGTTTAGTTGAAGTAGAGGGATCTATACTATTTTCCTGTATAGCTGTTTCTGTGATTTCGGTGAAAGTAAGGTTTAGTTGACATTCATACTTAATGTATGTTCTCACTTCTTTCTTGATCTTAAATAAAAAGGAAGATTTAAACATTTTAAGTGTGTTTGGGTGCTTTGATTATTATAATTATTTGTCAGTACTCTGTACTTCATTCTTTCTCTCAAATGTACCTTTACCTTTGCTTAGTTTTTCCTTTTTCCTTTGGGTCCCTTTTCTTTTTCTGTTGTCTCATGTTTGCTTCCCTTCCTCCAATGTCAGTTATGGTGGATATAAGGGAATCTATATAAGTATAAAAGAAGAAAGTTACTATACTGTTAATACAGTGTGCTAATGGAGAAGTCTTAAAAAGGCAATCATCAAATTCATCTCTGCTGTTTCTAGCCATTTCTTTTTAGATGTTTCTAGGCCAAGAACAAAGAAAACGCAGCTAACAACCTGAACAATAAGGGTTCCATTAATTGAAATAGGCTGGACTTGTACAGTGTAATAAAATACAACTTATATCACTTTGCAGGTGACTAAAACATGCTGCCTTTGTTTATATGGAAATATTTTTGCAGCTCTGTTATCCTTCAGACATATGCTTTGGATGGGATTATTTTTCCAGTGTTAGATGTATGTGCTAGATCTAGCTACATATTTTTGCTTCAGTTTCCTCTTGTGCCCAGATGCATGCATTTGTGACATTTACTCAGAATTAGAGATGTAATGTGTGGCTATGAAATAGAAGAAAGCCAAGTTTATTAGCTTTGTATGCTAATCAGACCCACATGTATATGCCTATGAATAAGTATGTATATAATATTAAAATTTACTTTTAATCATGAAGACTTGGCTTTAGAATATAGTATTTAAATATAGATAAGAGCCTGATCTAACAGTTCTTTAGATCATTATTATGATGTATGAAATATTTTTATAAAGTAAATTGAGATTTGATTATTTTACAAGTGAAGAAACAGAGGAATAGAAGCTAACTAACATATCCTGTGTCAACATCATTAGCAGTCTTCTACTGGGTGTGCTTTTCTGTGTGGGAAGTAGCAGTTGTATCGCAACAAGTATTGATGGTTTGCTCTGTGCTCAATTTTAGAGTCTGTAAGATAAAGTATAAAATGTATAATTTTCATTCAAATTGAAGAGACAAGATTAATTACAAGTATAACATATACTTATCTTAAAAAAGTATATAAAGTCAAGTGGTTACACTATAGCTGTGTGGTCATTTAGCATTTTTATTAAAAATAAAAAGCCTTTCAGAATTAAGTATTTGCTGTTGTTTGCATTTTGGATCTAAATTGTTTGGAGTGTTACGGAATGACCTTGTAGATGAACCCACCTTCAGATGACAGTATTTTGTTTCTATGCTTTAAAGGGGTATATGTGCAGTGATTTTGACTTTAGTTTGTATTGGTGCTTGGAAATTTATAGGTGTACTTGGTAGATTATGGCCTTGCTTATCGGTACTGCCCAGAAGGAGTTCATAAAGAATACAAAGAAGACCCCAAAAGATGTCATGATGGCACTATTGAATTCACGAGCATCGATGCACACAATGGTGTGGGTATGTCAGTAGTACTTGAGTGAGAAATAGACTGCTAATGTTTTCACCCAGATTCCTACATAGTTCTTAATTATGCATAAATAAATAAATAGATACATAAATAAGAATTGAAGAGGCACAGGGGCATGAGGAAAGAAGGCAGAGGTGAGACTCCTACAATTGTATTCCGGGGCCATTTGTGTTCTTCTCTCTTGCCTTTTCCTTGCAACCTTCAAAGATAACCAAGAAGGTGGTAGTGGTTCATTCAACTGCAATGAGGATTTCTTTTTGGTTTTATTTAGTTTAATTGGAATGTTTGTTTGTTTTTGTATTTTTTCTCAAGTTTCTTATGTATCTACAACTTTGTAACAGCTCACTTTTATTTTACTACCTGTTAAGTTAGTTTATTTCCTCAGCAGTCATTTCTTCTGTGCTCAAAGCTGTGGAAGAACTCAAACACCCAGTTCTCTGGGCCTCTTAATAGCATATAAAAATTTTAAGAATATCTTCAGGTTTTCCAAAGGCAGTATTGAGTCTATCATTGTTTTATTTCTAGAGTAACAGTCTCTGCTTGAAACCCTAAAATTTACCAATTTGAGTTTTAAAGTAGAAATTATTAATTGGAAGTAAATTGGGAGGTAAGCTGTTTCTTTTATACTGTCCAATAGCTAGGTGAAATGCAGTCAAAATTTTATGATGAAAAACAGACTGTGGAGTTGACTTGTTTTACCTTATTACTTTATATATACTTTAAATTATATATTAAAAATTATTTCAGTCTACCTAATGTTCTTCTCTTGCATTTGTAGCCCCATCAAGACGTGGTGATTTGGAAATACTTGGTTATTGCATGATCCAATGGCTTACTGGCCATCTTCCTTGGGAGGATAATTTGAAAGATCCTAAATATGTTAGAGATTCCAAAATTAGGTAAAGGAAAACTTAAGTTATTTCTAGCAAAATCATGATAAGCCAAATGTTTTTAGTCACAGTTTCTTGACAGGAACTATAGTTTCAACTGATACTGATATAGAAATAAGAAAGTACTTGTTAAACAGTAAGGTTCCTTGTCTTTTGTTTAATTTAGAAAAATGTCTGTAAGCATATTTAGGATGTAGCACAATATTGCTTAATGTGCTATGTATTTTTATTTCATATTAATAACATGACATCAAGCTTCAAACAGTGACTCATTCTTTAATTTTTAACAGATATAGAGAAAATATTGCAAGTTTGATGGACAAATGTTTTCCTGAGAAAAACAAACCAGGTAGGAAAACACTTCTTCAGTGTTAATAGGGATTTTGTTTTCTGGGGATAAAAAGGCATGGTATCCATGGAATAGCCCTTAATGTAAGATGTTAGGTGGTGACCAGGCATGGTGGCTCACTCCTGTAATCCCAGCACTTTGGGATGCTGAGGTGGGTGGATCACAAGGCCAGGAGATCGAGACCATCCTGGCTAACAGGTGAAACCTCATCTCTGCTAAAAATACAAAAATTAGCCACGCATGGTGGCATGCACCTGTAGTCCCAGCTGCTCAGGAGGCTGAGGCAGGAGAATCACTTGAACCCAGGAGGCAGAGGTTGCAGTGAGCTGAGATCGTACCATTGCACTCCAGCCTGGGTGACGGAGTGAGACTCTGTCTCCAAAAAAAAAAAAAGGATATTAGATGGTTTGTTAAATGAATACTTGAGCCTTATTCAATTTTATTCAGTGCTTTTAGCAAAGGAAGCAAATTTCATTCATCCATTAAGCTAGTAAGTATTGAGGCTTTATTGTGCACCAGGGATTGGGGGTACATCAGGGAACAAAACAAATATCCCTGCCCTCATGAAGCTAACATTCTAGTTGGAGGAGTTAGATAGTAAACACATGAGCAAAATTTGTATGTTCCCCTGGTTAGTACTGTGGAACTAGAAGAAAACAGGGTATAGAATTAGGGGGATGGAGTTGGGGTGGGTAGTAAAGTAGCGAGGAGGACTGTAATTTTAAGTAGGCTGTCCAGGGACAGCCTCACTTAGGAGGTGATATTTGAGCAGTTGTAGGAAGGAGGTGAGGGAGGGAGTGAGCTCTGTAGAAGTCTGGGGAAGAGGGTTCTAGGCAGAAGGGACGCTAGTGCCCAGGAGATGCGAGGACTGTTTTTATAGGTAATCATGAGGGCTTTGGCTTTTACTTCAAGGAAGAGTGTAAGGTTTGGATTAGAAGAGTGATATGAACTGTTTATCCTGAGGGGAAAGGTCTCCTGCTTCTGGCGTAGGGATGGACTGCCAAAGGAGCAAGGATGGGCCTAGGCAGAAAGCAGGTTAAGAGGCCACTGCAATAACCCGTGCAAGAGAAGTAGCAGTCAAAGAGTGAGAATTGGTCAGTTTGCATATATTCAGAAGTCTTTCTAAGCCTTTGCTCAGTTGTCTCCTTTTCAGGAAGGTCTATCTACCCTGACCTTATGCTATTTAAAATTGCAGCCTACTCCCCATATCAATAAATACAATGTGGATTTCTCAGAATTATGCGTTGGACATCATAGCGATCAGTAGCCTCTCCCTCGTGGCCGAATGAGTCACTTACCTTAATTTCCAGTACCAAATATTTGTGTTTAAAATTTATAGAAATGGAATAATACAGTGAATGAAATAGGTAAAAATCCCTGTCCTCATGAAATTATGGTTTACTTCTGTTAGTGTCCTTTTCTTTCACTCAGTAATGTATTTGTGAAATTCATCCCCATTATCGCATGTTTTTTTTTGTTATTGTTGTTGTTATGTTTTTTTGAGATGGGGTCTCACTCTGTTGCCCAGGCTAGAGCGCAGTGGCACAGTCACAGCTCACTGCAGCCTTGACCTCCTGAGCTTAAGAGATCTTCCCACCTCAGTCTCTGAAGTAGCTGGGACTACAGGCACACGCCACCACACCTGGCTAATTAAAAAAATTTTTTTTGTAGAGATGTGATCTCACTATGTTGCCTAGGCTAGTCTTGAATTCCTGGGCTCAAGTAGTCCTCCTACCTCAGACTCCCAGTATTGGAATTGTAGGCATGAGCCACTGCACTTGGCCCTATTATTGTATATGTTTAACAGTAGTTTCTTCATTATCATTTCTATAAGGTATTCTACTGTAGTTACATACCATTATTTATTCTGCTCTTAGTTCATCTCTAATTTTTGGCAGTTGCAGCTTGCCAATTATACATACAGATGTATAGTCTACCTGCAGTTGATTTTTGGGTATTATTTGAGGAGGGGTCATGTATCTTTCCTATCCCCATATTTATATCTAGTCGACCCAGCAACCTTCCATGAAAAGACCATTCTTTTCCTTTGTTGTCATATTTGTCATCAATTAAGTGTGGATTTGTGGATCTGTGCATCTGTTTCTGGACTCTCTTTTTTCAATTGTTCTTTTTGCCTATTCTTGGACCACGCTGTCTTAGTTACTGTAGCTTTATTTTAAGCTTGGTATCTGGTAGTTGAAATTCTTTAGCACTGCTTTTCTTTAACTAGACTTTGCTACTTTGCTATTCTTTGCCCTTTGCATTTCTATTTAAATTTTAGAATCACCTTGTCAGTTACACACACACTTACCCACCCCTAAGTTTGCTGGAACCTTGGGATTGAATTTGACTCTGTAGACCAATTTGGGGAGCACTGACATCTTTATACTGTTGAGTTTTCCAGTCCACTTGTATGGTATATCTTTTACTAAATTTGGTCTGTCTTAGTTTCTCTCAACTGTGTTTTATAGTCTTCTTTAGGAAAATCTTGCTCATCTTTCATTGTATTTGTTGCGAAGTATTTGATGCTATTTTAAGTCTTTTCTAAATAGTTTATTTTCCAATTGCTTTTTGCTAGTCTATAGAAATAGGATAGATTTTTATATATTTACCTTGCATCTTATGACCTTGCTACATTTATGTACTAGTTCTAGTAGTTATTTGTAGATTCTGTAGGATTTTCCACATGTAGTATTATGTTGTTTGTGACTAAAGTCTGATTTACATCTTTTGTTCCACTCTTTATGCCTTCTATTTATTTTCTTATTGTATTAGCTAAAAGTACACATAACTATTCTATTATACTGAAGGGACATGGCAAAAATGGACATTGTTCTCTCCCAGGGGGAGCATTTTCAATGTTTTATCATATATGGTGATAATTGTTTTAGTTTTTTTTTGTACATCTCCTTTATCAGATGAAGAAATTGGAAGTTACGTACTGTTGTCTGTTTTTTTCTCGGTATATTCCAAGTATTTAGGATAGTGCCTGGCACATAGGAAGTGCTTAATAAATATTTGAGTTAATGAATGTGTGTGTGCACGTGCGTGTGTGTGTGTGTGTGTGTATAAAACTGATAAGATCTCTTGAAGGACTGGTGTGAGAGGAAATGATTCAAGGATGACTAACTCAGATTTTAGCTTGAGGAGCTAGAAGGATGAAATTCTCAGTAACTGAGACAGAGAAAACCTCAAATTTTAGGGATAGGTCAAGAGTTTAGATGTGGGTTTGTTGGAATTAATGGTGATATTTACACATCTAAGGACCAATATATGAATAGTAGATATACAAGTCTGGAGGTTGGGGGAAAGGTCTGTGTGTGACTCATTAGCTCAAAAATGGATTTTTAATGTTGAGAAGTGTTGATCTTGACTAGTAGGATTTCTTTTTTATGGTGTGGTTCTGTCTAAGTGTACGGTAAACCTTTATCATTTGGAAGCTGATTTTTCTCTTTTATAGGAAAGCCAGACCTTATTTCTTTCTTCTTTCTTTGACCTCTTTTTGGTGTGTTTTATTTCTCTATCTGCTATAGAGCTAATGGCTTTGATGGCAAAAACAAATTGGCTGTGATATTCATTGTATTTAAGGACATTTTACTTTCATAATCTTTAGATCCCTTTGTATTATAACTTTAATACTAAAATAGTTATTTTTATGAATATTTAAATTTTAAGTTCTGTCTTGTTTCTTACAATTACAAAAGTGTGTTTTATATTATATCTCAAAATACTTTTTTAATTTCAGTTATCTGACAATTCCTGAGTTCAAAAGCATACTTTTCATTGAAGTGATTGAAAAAAATAGATATCTTAACAAGATGTGTGTTTGCATTCTAACTTTACTATAACCATGAATTGTTTTTTTAGAGGTAAGAGTGAAATATATTAGATTTGTGATTGAAAGTTATAAAATGATTGTGTTATTCTTTTAGGTGAAATTGCCAAATACATGGAAACAGTGAAATTACTAGACTACACTGAAAAACCTCTTTATCAAAATTTACGTGATATTCTTTTGCAAGGACTAAAAGCTATAGGAAGTAAGGATGATGGAAAATTGGACCTCAGTGTTGTGGAGAATGGAGGTTTGAAAGCAAAAACAATAACAAAGGTGAATTTTGTTATCAAATTATTCTTTGGTCTTGTGTTTATAATTGCAACAAATACTATAAGAAAGTATAGCAGTAGTTCAATGAAGAAAAAGAACAGATTGCATGGCAATTAAGGCAAACTTTTTATAATACAGAACAATGTGTAGAGGGTTGTAGAAAAATAGTTATTTATCTATTTCTTATGTTTGGTAGCAAGTTACTAAATTTTTGAAATGATTTTAACTTGAAATACTGATACCTGACAGAGAAATTTTGATGGTGCACTGAATTCATAATTTATATGTTCTTTTCTCCCAAGTCACCCCTTAGGGTTCATACTCTCTCGGTTGTTTCTTATTTGTGGATATGGTCATAGTTTTACCAGTCGAAAACGGGTATTTGAAAAATTACTATTTGAAAATTTCCTTGTTTGTTGGTGTGGTACATTTTACCATTTGAACATTATTTTGCTCTGTGAGGAAATATCATTATATAAAGCTTGTATCAGCATATAAGGGCATTAATTGTTTGGAGAGAAATGTTAACTTTATGATAGAAGTATTATACAAGCATGTAAAGAACTTCTGGCATCACTTTAGATTTTACAGGTAGGCATTAACTTACTGATTTGCTATTGGTTATTTTTGATAATTAACTTATTGATAAACTTACTGATTTCCCTTATAATCTGAAATTATTTAATACAATGTGTTAGCTATTTTTATATGAGGAAGGAAAACAACTTTTAGAAGAAAAAATTTTTTTACATTATTAACTATTTTTACTGTCATTAACTTTACAAATTCTAATAGATTTCTTTGGAAATCTCATATTCCGAACTGACAAAAAGGGTTAAAACAGAATTTTCTCTCTTTAAAATCAGAAGCAGCATATTTAAAAGTTTTTATCATTTCAATTAACAAAGGAGATAGGAATTTTGAAATTGTACCAAAAATTTGACTTTCTGTGCCAAATAGCAGGTCTCTGTAATTTCATCATAGAATCTGAAATTATATACATGCATCTACATACACTTTTTTTTCTTTGATAAGTTTTGTCTTAATTACATCTGCTCCAGTTTTGTGGTCAACAAGTATGCTGAACGCCGCATCCATGTTTGAAATGAAGAGGGTAAAATGGAAGCCTGAGTGGAATTTTTTAGTAAGGTATTGTAGTAAACTTACTTTTCGCATACATGCATAAACAAGCAGAGTGTTTCTTATTGCTCAGGATAGATTTCTCTGCGTTAATATTTATAGCGAGCTTATATAGTGTTTTTCTCTAAAATTTTGTTTTGTTGATTGAGAAGTAAAGATCTCTGCTGTTATGTGAGAACTTGTCCAGAGCAACCACCTCCCCCGTCCCAACCCCCGTCCCCCTGCCCCCGCCCCTACCTTCCTTTGCAAATCCCTGTTGTTTGGACCTACGTGCTGGAGAAAATTTAGTTTCTGCAGGTTGGCTGACTTTACAGCTGAGTAGGTCAGTCTGCTGCAGAGCTAACATCTGTGACCTTATAATTCTGTTGTGTCCTTGGATAGTTCAGAAGGCTGGAAATTTCCTGTTGGATCATCCCTGACATGTATAAAGCTTCATTTAGGGGAAAAAAATGAATACTGAGTTGAACAAGTTGAACTATTAGGAGGTTTACTTCATTAGTTTACTGCTTTTTGTACACTCATTGCTGACACAGGATTGTTGTCTGTATTAAACGGAAATTAATAAAAGTTAAGATGAAGTTAGGTAAGATCATGAGCTGCTTGATAGCCATGTTTTAACTGAAATGAGTTATTTATTTTGTTGGCTTTTTTTTTTTTTTGTAAAGTGAAAGGATTGGACCAGACCAGTTTTTTTCAAGCTTTGCTTTTCTTTTAAACTGCAGAACATTTTCTTCATATAAATTGTAAATGCTTTCATTGAAAACAGATAAAAGCAGAGCTCTGCTGGATGAGAAGTTGGGGGCTCCCTACAATGAAAAGCTTTCTCCTTTGAGAAACTAGCTTGCTGCTTCTGTTTTGCAGCAAGATCTATAACCCACATGTCTTTTTTTGCTCTGGATGTCAGGAGGCTCAAAACTAAACATAATGCCTAATTCTACTACTTTGTTGATTTTTATAATTAGTACATTTGTTTCCTCTCTTTTCCTTTGTCATAATTTTTAAAAGTGTAAAGTGTATTTTCTGTGTAAGTATCAGACTGAGATCTGTTTTGGAAAGGGGTAGGTTTAATCAGTTTAATATATGTTTGTCTTTAGGTTCCTGAGAGATACTCTTTTTGGTAAAAACTTACAGGAATTGATGAACAGTGGAATGAAGCAAGGTTTCTTGTCTATTTTTTTTTGCAGCCATGCTTGATTATGGTGCAGTATATTTGGAAACTAGAGTGAAACATGAATTTACCCACTTGGAAATGTTTTCTGCTTAATAATCAAGGAGCTTTATTTAAAGCGTAGAATTTTGGGATGACATAATCCTGAAGGAGAACAGAGAGATCAAGTATATATCTGCCCTTAAAAAGTACAAAGTCAAATATTTTTATTGTTGATTAGAACTAAACATTTTCAGTTTTTAGAATCTGGCAGTACAGTGCAACAGTTACTGGATTCCGTGTATACTCATAAATTAACATTCAACAATTATGTAAAAGGTCTAATTTATGTACCTGATCTAGGCTAGGTCTCTAGGGCTACGAAGATCAGTGACATGTGATCCCATCCTTAAAGAATTCTTCTTGTTCCATCTGGGTTAAGAACAGCTTAATTTACTGGAAAGAGCTCAGCAAGTTAAAAGGACATTAACACCTCCATGAACTATTTTAGAGTTTTAAGTTGCCTGCCTAAGTCAACAAAAAGGGTTGTTGACTGGAATCTCATCCCTGGAAAGTCGTTGAGTAAGGTCTAGATCATGGCCTTGCAATTTGTATTTTATTTTTTCATTTTCAGACAGCCTATATTGTTGCTCCCTATGAATGATATTCACATACCTTTCTTTCCTTCTCTATTTTACCTCCTAATTTTTTAATTTTTTAATTTTATTTTTCTGGCTGCATTATGCTAATTGGTCTTTCTAGAGTTTCTCTTATTTAACCATTGTTAAATAAACCCTTGCTGGCACTTAGCCTGGAGCAGGGTACAAAGAGTTGAATAAGAGCAAAGCCCTTCCATTGCAAATCAGTAGCCTGCAGCTGCTCTGGTGGACAGCTTTCTTCCTTTCTTTCCGAGGGGATTGACCTCACACAGCCTTTACACCATGTAGTCTGTAGTTTCAGTCAGGTTGCCCTGAACGTACTCTCTAAATTTGGTGAAAATCTATCTAGCTGTTTTAGCCTGATACAGTAATAAAGATAAACTGTATTGTAATTATATAAATTTAGATTGTTGAAGTTGGTACATTCCTGTTTTCTAATGGTTTGATCATAGTACTGTAGTTAAGTAGAGTCAGCATTTGCTAACAATTTTTTTCTTTAGGTCTGTTATTGAGTTCTTTATTTTCAACTTCTCATTTAGCTGAATTTTGTCAAGTGGACTTTTTCGCCCTAAATTGTTAAGTGAAGTTGTTACATATGTATAGAAAAGTGCATGAATAAGTACACTTCTACACAATATTCACTTAAACATCACCCAGATCAAGATATGAATCATTGCCAGAATTAGTTTTGCCATATTTGGGGAAATTATAGTAATGGTATCTCATATTACATACTCTTTTGTTTCTTTCATGTAATTGTATCTCTGAATTTCCATGCTGTTGCACGTAACAAAAATTTGTTTTTCATTGCTATGTAGTATCCCATATGACTATACCATAATTTATTGACGGACTTTCAGATTGTTCCAGGTTTTGGCAGTTGTGACAATGCTGTTAAGAACGTTATTTTAATTTTTGGGGGGAAGCATATACATTTATTTCAGATTGGGTCTGTACATACTGGGGTTGCTGCAGCATAAGGCTTACTTATGTTGAGGGTTTGTAGATATGGCCAGTCAATTTTCCAAAGCTGCTCTCTCAGTTTAATTCTTATCAGTGGCATAGGGGAGTTCCAGTAGCTCACTGACACTAGCTATTGCTTTATATTTAATTTCACCTATTTTGGTGGATGTGCACTGATTTGTTTATGGTTTTAACTTAATCTCCTTGAAAAATACTGATTTGAAACATTTTTGTATGCCTGCCAGCCTTGATAATCCTGTTTTTGGTGAAGTACATTTCAAATCTTTTGCCTATTTAAAAAAAAAAAAAAAGGTTGGGGTTGTCAGCTTTCTTTTGATTTACCAGAGTTGAATACTTTGTATGTATGCAATGTATGTGTTACACATATTATCTTCCAGTTGGTGTTTAATCTTTTTACTCTTAATATGGTATCTTTTGATGAATGGAATCTCTTCATTTTAATGAAACTCACTTTATCAGTCTTTTTGTTTATGGTTAGTGCTTTTTATATTCTATTAAGGAATATTTTGTCTACTTAGGATCATGAAGATACGTTATTTTCAAGAAATTTTATCTTATCCTTCACATTTAAGTCTGCAGTTTAACAGAAATTGATTTTGTGCATGGTGTGAGTCAGTATTTGTTTTTCTTCTTTTGATATCTAGTTGATGTAAACCATTTGTTGAAAAGACGATCCTGCCGGGCGCGGTGGCTCAAGCCTGTAATCCCAGCACTTTGGGAGGCCGAGACGGGTGGATCACGAGGTCAGGAGATCGAGACCATCCTGGCTAACATGGTGAAACCCCATCTCTACTAAAAAATACAAAAAAACTAGCCAGGCGAGGTGGCGGGCCCCTATAGTCCCAGCTACTCGGGAGGCTGAGGCAGGAGAATGGCGTGAACCCGGGAGGCGGAGCTTGCAGTGAGCTGAGATCCGGCCACAGCACTGTGGCCTGGGTGACAGAGCGAGACTCCGTCTCAAAAAAAAAAAAAAAAAAAAAGACGATCCTGCCCTTACAGCATTGCAGTGGTAACCATAGGTATTTGAGTCTTTTTCTAGATACCCTATTCTGTACCATTGGCCTGCTTGTCCA